AATTTATAAATTATTGGAATCATTTTTCAAAACTCCTAAAACTATACTAATATATTAACCACATTGTTGTGCTGCACCATGTGAAAAAAAATGAATTGGAGTGTATCTGGAAAACTATAAAATTAAAAGCTCCAAATTGTAATTGGACGAGGACAACTGTCTTCACAATCATTCTATGGAATTTGATTGATTTGAATTCTTTAATTTAGTCATCAAAACTCGATCTGCATCGATGCTGCATCAAATAAGAATCATCAAAATGAAATCTGGAACTTTGGAACAGACTTAACGTTATAACTTTGGTTTATTTACTATTGTAATAATTTATTGAATTTTTTTAAGTACATTTTTAAATTAAGAACTCTTACACAAAAGGGTACAACAAATCCTCAAAAATTCCTTTGCAATACCAATATTGTATCCTTTTAGGGCTTTGGTTTATATTTCGCAAGCAGTTCCTTTACTAAAATATTTGGACAAAATTAAAGTATACTTCTTGGCAGCGAAATAATAGTGTATAGCCGCAAAATATCGGCAAACTATATACTTCGGAATATGTCCGATTTTGCTTTTGTTTCATTATGAATGCGTATTGTATTTCCTGGAGATTTAACAAAGATTGTCTCTTATATTTTTGCCGATATGTGTATGATACTTGTGATACTTGATAAAAATGTTAAAATTAAGGATTTCCCTGTTCTAGCAGGAATATTAATTGTAATTAATGCCATCCAATTAACTATCTTTGCAGATGTATTTTAGTGCTAGATTAATTTTCATTTCACAAGCTAAGTTATAATTTTGCAAACGCTAAAAGTATGCTATGAAATAATCAAAGAAACATACAATTTCTTGGACTATGTTTAGTCTAAAAAACTTGATATTAAAATATTTTCTTATCTATAAATATTAAATGTTTACTGGCAGATTAGCTTTTTATGTAGTTTTTAGAACAGATTTACTTCTATTTTGGCTAGCAAAATTTACCAAAAAATTCTTCTAATTCTGAATTAATTCTAAATTTTCAATAACATACACTGCATCGATTTGTCTTATTTGTGTAAATAGTTAAAGAAAAACATATTTTTTTTTATTTTTTTATTTAATATTTTGGGAGTTCTTAGGAGACTAATTTTTACAATAATGACAATGTTTTAATTTTTATTTAATAAAATATTTTACATATTTAAGCATATATAAGAAACTCATCATATCGAAAAAAACAATTAAACGATCCATCAAAAATTATGTCTTCAATATCGATATAATCAGTTTAGACTGTTGTTTAAATATTATAAATTATCAATAGGCAGGTTAAACATCATTGAATAGGCTTAATAGAAATTAGAAAATATATTGCAGTGTATGAGACTCATTCATTATTTAAATCAGGGCTGTCTAGACCAGACGCTATTGCGGGCCAATACAAATCAGTGTACAGATTGGAGGGCCGCAGACACAAATACATACTTTCATAGTTGTTTTTGACAAAAATAAAAATACGGCTATAATATTAAATATAGTTTTATTAATTTAAACTCATTTATTTGGTATGTCATAAAAATAAAATAATTTGGTTTTATCATTATACCAAAAGGAAATTTGCACAATTATCAGAGATTAAAATCATGTCGCGGGCCGCATAAACATTGGCCGCCGGTCGCGCTTTGGACAGCCCTGATTTAAGTGAATAAATAAAATTTTTTATAAACAATCATTTTTTTAAATTAATATTGAGCCCCAATTATTTTTGACCAACCTAATGTTACAATGAAAAGTATAAAGTAATAATTGACAAATATTTTTAATATGCTTTTCATGACCTGAAAAACTTATTTACAAAAAAAATAAAAAAAATAAATAATAATATAAAATACACAACAAATCTGTTATTTACATATATACACATATATAAAATAATATATTACATTTAAATTCTTCTTATTTTTCCTAATTTTGGAAAAAATAATATAGTAATAATTACTGTAAGTTAACAATATTTAAATTGCTTATATGAAATTATAATAAACTAAATAACATCATAGAAATTTATATTAGTAATGTTTTTATTACTTTGGTTTAAATAAGGCAAAGTATGCAATATTCTTTATACTTTGTGGCATTAATTTAATTCTGCGTAGATGAAGTTAAAATATTTATACAAAAGCTAATGGTAATTTCTTTAGTACTTTCTATATAATTTATTTGAAGAAATTCTGTAATAAAAAGAACCATATTTGCGTGAATATATAATTAATTTGATTTCAATAATTTAATTAACTTGAACACATTTCACAAATATCTCAATTGAGAGATGGAGTATCTAGAGCTATAAGATAAGATTTGATCGGTACATTTTGAGATATAAAGCATAACAATAATACTGGATAAAGATACAAAATAATTTTAGATTGTTCATGTGATTGAATCAATGAATCTGTTTATTGAACGATGTGTTGTTCACTAACGATCAACACACAATTAATAAATTAACATTGATTTTATTTTGGAGCATATTTATTAAATAATAATTGCAAACAACCAGTGTTGAGAACGCTTTTTTATTTTATGTTCTTACTCTATTTATTTAAAAAAAATCAATATATCAAGTACAGTATACTCTTGGTTTAAGGACGAGATATAACGACGCCTCTAAATGACAGACGATCAAAGACTTGTAAATAATGTTCGCCACAAATAACGAATGTTTGAAAGGCCTTGACATTATATCTTTCGTTATGGCTTATGGCCTTCTTCTAGCTTCTGCTGATACCGCTGCCTGCGGAAAAAATTTCTCTATTTGCACAATCAAGGCAGATGCTGATATAAAATTGGTCGTAATATACCCAGATCACACCGGAAGTTATTGGAGATTTCGCCAAGGATATATATGGCATAACGGTCAAGAGGTCAGCGTGGAACTAATTACAGTTGGCGTGCTGTTAAGCGAAAACCGTTTATTTTGAAGACCAACCAACACAAGCATTTAACCTTACAAAGGAGTACAAGCTTATCGACTTTTAGAGCAATGTAATCAGCGTGGATGAAGCAAAATGTAATATCTTTCGATCTAATGGTTATCAAACAAACACCGAACTGCAAAAAAAGAACCCTGCTATATATGTGAAACGTGATATTTGTGAGTTTGAACAAAAAAAAATTACTCGTTTGTGCATGTCAAAAGAATGAAAATAAAAAACTTATGGAACAGCTTTATGTAAAATCTAGTGAGAACAGCTGTAGAAATAGAAGTTAAAAAATAACAAAACAAATAATATATTATGGAATAATTTTATTTTAACAAAGCGAGTTAAAGTGCTTTTGTTATATAAATTTATTATAAAAATTTTATTTTATATTATTATTACAGACGTAATGGAGGGAAATGAAAGAAAAATTATTTCATGTTCACCCACAACTTTTCTACAATGGCAAAACGGTAAGAAATTGTATTTACATATTGTAAATTGTAATTATTTAATGCATTTTTTATTAGATGATGAATTTGTTGATGAGATGTCGCAGCATCAAATATAATATCACAAAATATAAATTTAATATCTAACACAACATAACCAAACCAAGCTACAATATATATTAACCAATATATCTCCTATGCTATATTAACTTATATATATATAAATTTCAACAAATATTAATTTATAATTTTTCCGAGGTCCTGCATGGTAGGAAAACCCTCCATTTAAAACACCAACAGGTGTATGAAAATACGTCATCTGTTCACTAAAGTTCCCACTGACACGTTTCGCCTGGCAACTAACCAGGCTCATCAGAGTGAATATGTAATTTTTCAAAAGAATTAACAACAATTATCCATTTATCTCTGTCGTAAGTCCAATAATATTCCATATTAAGAAACATTTACTATACTCCTCATACATCTAGCAAACCAGATATATAACCATGCCCTCAGTATAATGTTCAATAACAAGACACTGGACACAGTGTTGGCTAGTTACTGGAGTTAGCACACCTAACTAAACCTCTATTGATGGCAACCCTTAGAAAATATTACAAAACTAATTGATAAACCAACATTAGTCAAATATACCTAAATTGTACAAAATAATATAAGTTAACTAAACTTCAAATAATATCAAAACAAAATACATAAAAATAAGAATAAAAATACATAAAAATAAAAATAAAAATAAGAATAAAAATAATAAAAAATAATAAAAAAAATTCCCACATTTCAAGGATACAAAACTTCAAAAATAAAATTTCAAAAAATTTTAAAATTAAATTTCAAAAATTTCCAAAACTTCACAAATAATACAAATTCCAAAATTTCAAAAATAAGTATTATACACCTAATTATACATACATATATATCCATACACATACATACATATACACACATAAATATAACTTTATAAAACCAAAGATCAAAAACCAAAGTTAAAAACAAAATTAACAATTTATAAAACTAAATATTAAAATATTATATTACAAAAATTACAATACTATCTCAGGAAATATTTGATTTCTTACCTACGATTACATAACTATATCATACATATACAGTGAAATTCCTCATAACGGACAGTCCTATTAACCGGACAGCTTCAATAGCCGGACAAATTTCGTGGACATAGGTTTTTCATTAATTTTTTCATATAAAATGCATTCCAATAACCGGACGCTCTAATAACAGGACGCGGACACTATATTTCAAACTATTTTGATCAAAAAATCTCTCATAAACGGACAAAATTCAAAAAAATACCGAACCTGTTTTTTAAAAATCTGGAGTTCCCACAATACAAATTCTGTTTGTATTTTTGTCAAGAATTATGTGGCGGCCATATAACATCTCTGCCCACACATGTCAACATCAAAAAACAGATAATCAGCTGTCAAATAGAGGGCAATTTCTTCATTTAGTTTGTTAAATAAATTGCATTTAGGTTGTCTGTATTTTTAAGTTGCAAGTGATAACATGGCACCAAAAAAAGGTACTATCCATTAAAGAAAAAATGGAAATTATTAACGTGTTCGAAAACGAAAAATTGTCTGCACGTGAAATTGTAAAAAGGTAAATTTTAAACCCATAAAAAATGAAATTTTGCACAATTTTTTGTATTCAAAGGTTTAATATTGGCAAAACACAAGCTGCAGAAATCAATAAAAATAAAGCAACAATTCGTTCTAGATGGGAGTCTGGAGTTAACGTTCATCAAAAGCGAAGTTTTCTTAAAGAAGCTGGCTCTGAAATAGACAAGATGTGTTTTGATTGGTTTGCTAAGGCTAGAATTCAAAAAATTCCTTTATCTGGCCCTATTGTAAAGGCAAAAGCAATCGAAATAGCAATCAAATTAGGTATATCTAATTTTAATGCTTCAAATGGATGGTTGAATAGATGGCGCTTAAGGAATAATGTTGCTTTCAAGTGCATATCTGCATATCTGGTGAATCTGCAGATGTAAACCAGGAGGATGTAGATCAGTTCAGGGGAAAGTTGTCACCTTTGTTGAGCAAATACAAGCCCCAGGACATTTACAATGCAGATGAAAGCGGGCTTTTCTTTCGCGCATTGCCTAACAAAACTCTCGCTCTTAAATCTGAAAAATGCATTGGCGGTAAATTTCCGAAGGAAAGACTTACAATTTTGTTTTGCGCAAACATGGTGGGAGAAAAAGAGCTCCTTTTGGTTATAGGTAAAGCAGCTCGCCCTCGATTATTTAAATATGTTTCTATCATTTACCTGCCAGTGATTTGGAAATCTAATAGAAAAGCATGGATGGCTGCAACAGTTCAATAAAAAAATGAGAGTTCAGAATAGAAAAATTGTTTTGTTTTTGGATAATGCAACATCTCATCCAAGGGAATTAAACTTAACTAACATAAATATTGTTTTTTGCCTCCAAACACAACGACAGCAATCCAACCTCTTGATCAAGGAGTAATCCAAAATTTTAAAATTTTCTATAATTTTCTATAATTGCTACGTAAAATCAACACTACAAGGTCAGCTTTAGAGCTGGCAAAATCTATTAATGTACTTGAAGCTGTTTATTTCCTTAAAACATCTTGGGATAAAGTAAAAACAACAACAATCCAAAATGGGTTCTGTAAAGCAGGATTTTCAAAAGATGATGAAAGTTTTTCCGATTTTGATCCCGAAGATGACATTCCACTGGCACTCTATGCTAAATTTCAGGAAGGACCTGACTTGGCGAATGATTTTGACGATTTTCTCAAAATAGACAGAAATGTTTGCACTGAAGATGACAATATCGAAATTGAATTTGAAGAGCATAACGATAAAATGGACATAAGTGATTCAGAAGAAGAACCTAATGAAGAAATAAGTGAGCCCATAACATCGTACGATGAGGCGTTAACACTTGTTGCACGTTTGAAACAATTTGCCAAAAATGACTTCGTAGCTTTTCAACACATCAAAAATATCGAGAGTCATTTTGAAAATGAGCATTTTAAATTAAAACAATCAATGCTTAAGCAATCAATCATTACAAAATTTTTCCAACCAAAATAGTATTGATATGCAAAAACTAACATATTTTATTGACACATGTAACAATATGTATGTTTGTATATATAATATTAATTATAAAATAATAACGAATTTGCACAATATATTAAATAAACGACAATTTAATTATAATTTTTTGTAGTCTTTCCCATAAGCGGACATCTCTCATGACCGGACAAAAACACTGTGACGGTGAGTATCCGGTTATGAGGAATTTTACTGTAGTACATATGAAACAACTATTCTATTACCTTATATTGTAATAATAACCTGCAAATATATAGCATACACATAGCAGAAAAAGCCTACGGATATTCACAAAATTTTTCTTATATTACGCATAACTTTTTTAATTTTTACTCAAATTTATTTTTATTTCCTGATTTATTTTAACCAAAGAAACAACAATAAAGTTGCAATATAAAAAATTAATAGTTATTCTTAAAAAAAAAAATTTAAACACAATTATGTGCAAAAGTAGCAATTTTTGAAGCAGAAAAAGTCTACGGATATATCTTAATATTTACATTAAAACAATAAAATTCACAAAAATCTTAAATTTAATAACCTGTGGGATAACCTCTGCATTTAACAATCTCTGTTAAGCGTCTTTGCATGGACTCAACTAGCTTTGCTGTATCCTGTGCGTTTATTTCTACCCATTCTTCTTTGATGACGCTTCTTGCTATATCCTTGCCGGAAAACATATGCTGGCGAATCTTATTTTCCTAATAAACCCAAAGATGTTCTATAGGACTAAGGTTTGGTGATTCTGGTAGTGTTAGAAGTTGCCTGAGAGCATAGTACAGCATACAAGTCCGTACGATGACTGCGGTATGCTTAGAGTCATTGCCCTGCTGAAACAAAAAGGTTGCCTCAAGTCCTAACATTCTGACATTTTCTTTCAAATTTGTTTTTAGAATATTCAGACAGCCATGTTTCTCCATTGTATCTTGTACAAACTCAAGTCTGACAGCACTATTACTTGCTATACACCCCTAAATCATTACGTCTTCACCAACACGTTTTACTGTTTACTGTTTATCATAGGCTGTGCATAATTTTCTCCATACAAGTTTTCTAAATTTGATTCCAAATATGTAAAATTAATTCTCATTGGAGAAAATAACTCATTTTCAGAACTTTATAGGTTTATTTATACGCTTTCTTAATCATTTTATTCTATTATATCTGGATATGTATGGCTTCTTTCCTGCAATCAGGGTGTAATACATGCATTTCTTCAAAATTTTCCGCACAGTATCAGGACATATTTTGTTTTCAAGTATTTCGGCAATATGTTCAGTTATTTTGAAGGCTGTTACTCTTGGATTTACTTTCACCTGGTTGATTATGCTACGTCTTCCTCTATTTGACAGAATTGTGGGGCGGTGAGTGAGAGGTTTAGAAACGTAAGTACTCGTCTCTTTGAAGTTATTTGTTATTCTAAAATTTAAACTAATTTCACGTCTTTTATTTTATATTGTAAAAATTTATTGCTTATATAAAAAATATTATTAAATGATTAATTTTTAGACTCTTTACGAAGTCAACTGATAATTAAATATCATTTAATGACACTTTTATGATTGCAAGCGAATTTAAATTAGCGGTAAATGTAAATATTAAGAAATATCCGTAGACTTTTTCTGCTTCAAAAATTGCTACTTTTGCATATAATTGTGTTTAATTTTTTTTTAAAGAGTAACTGTTAATTTTTTATATTGGAACTTTATTGTTGTTTCTTTGGTTAAAATAAATTAGGAAATAAAAATGAATTTGAGTAAAAATTAAAAAAGTTATGCGTAATATAAAAAAATTATGTGAATATCCGTAGACTTTTTCTACTATGTGTATATAAATGAATAAAAATAAATGACCAATCAGGATACTATTTAAAAAACCATACATGGTAAAATAAAGAAAAATCATACTATATAATAAATATCACTATTATATTAAAAAAATTAAATTTAAAATCGCAATGCTAACTAAAAAACCAATAACTAGTATATAATTAAAAATACTATTAAAGACCATGTATATGAATACCACCGAATGAATTTTGCACAACATCCAAAATAAATAGACCCTAACTATGAAAACTAATGCATTTTAGCTTGGTTTTTTTATTAAACAACAACATACCTTCACAGACTCGCTACCTCCGGTTCTTGGCTCGGATAATTACTGTTGTCCTTTGTCTTTCCTGTTCCGCTATCAAAGACCGATGTAACTACACACATTATTTTTTAAAAAACCTAACTCACAATACTAAAACCAGAAAACCCAGTATAATTAAAAATATTGTTAAGAATCCATATGATCTGCGTACTACTGTCATCTTCAAAATCGGCACAACATTCAAAAATAACTATAAACAAACCCCAAATATGAAACCAATACATTTAGCATATTCTAACAACAACTATGGTTGGGCTACTGCCGGTGTTTACTCAACTCATACCTCATATTAATATATATGAGACCAGCATAAAATTTCATAAAAAATCAAATTTATAATAATTTGGAAAAAGTTGTGCATTGCATGCACACAAAGTCAATCATATATTTTAGAAAAACTGTATACAAAAAGCAAAGACTATTTCTTTGAATTTGTGTGTCCATTCAACACTAAACAACGGTTCTTCGTGTTTAACTACTATTGAACGGCCTATCCTCTCTATTTCCTCTTAACCCAAAAGAAACAAAATTTTATAAATATAAAATTAAACAACAATTGATAAAAATTATATAAGATGAAGTGAATTCATAACATTCTATAATTCTTCAATGTAACACCTCATCACCAATTTTAAAAAACAATATTACAAGCCAGTGGCTTCAGCGTAAACTTAAAACTAACAACATTTATAAAGTCAAGTGAGAACAACTAACAATATACATTGTGACCGAAAGGTTTTCGGAGGTTCTCATTTAAAATTCGCGCGCTGTATATTTTTCGATATTTTAAGTTTATGTAGTTTGGCAGCACTGTCCTTAATTACTATGCCAAAAATGAGCGCGATCTGTCAGACAGTTCGTTTACGGCAGCTGTTGAAACCAGTTCACCTCAGTAGTGCGTTGCGAAAAAAACAATGGAAAAAAATATTGAACAAAGAGTTTGCATCAAATTTTGTTTTTCGAACGAAATTTCGTGTGCAGAATCGTTGCGAATGCTACAAAAGGCTTATGGGGAATCAGTTTTATCGAAAACTCAAGTTTATGAGTGGTACAAAGCCTTTCAGGACTGTCGTACGACCGTCGAAGACATGCCGCGTTCTGGACGACCTTCGACCTCTACCACCGACGAAAACATTGAAAAGGCAAAGGAAATCGTGTTCAAAAATCCTCATGTGAGTGTTAGAGAGATAGCACGAGAGCTAGGCATCGGTCGTGAGATGGCTCGTTTGATTTTGGTGGACAATTTGTGTATGCGACGTGTCAACGCCCGGCTTGTTCCGATTCACCTCAATTTGTTCAACATTATCAACGATTTTAAGGCCAAACATTCAATAAATACCATCGAACAGCCACCGTATTCACCTGATCTTGCACCGTGTGACTTTTTCCTGTTTCCCAACCTCAAATTACCACTCAGAGGAACGCGTTTTGAATCCATAGAAGACGTAAAACAGAATTCGCAGAGGGAACTCAAAGCCATACCGGAAAGCGCCTATAAAAAATTTTTTGATGATTGGAAGAAACGTTGGCATTTGTGTATCGCTTCTAATGGAGCATATTTTGAAGGAGATAAAATAAATATTGATGAAGATTAAGAATTTTGCGTTTTATTTATTTATGACCGGAAACTTTTCGGTCACAATGTATTAAACATATAAAACAATTTCTATACTCTACAACAGTATTTTCTATACTCTACTAAACTTAATATTAATAAATCCTAAGATTATTGTCCTTGGGGGTGACAGGTAAGAGATGGTGGCGGGGTTTCTCTTACCTGTCACCCCCAAGGACAATAACCTTAGGATTTATTAATATTAAGTTTAGTATTAAAAATAACATGTTTATAGTATAAATAGTTTGTAAGATTGCTAGATGTTTTAATATTAGGAATTCTCCTGATGAAGGCAAAAGCGAATTTGCCGAAACACGTGTAGAGATACACAAAAAAACTTTCGAAATAAAAGTTAGTATATTTAAAAAACAAAAATAACCGCATTTAAACATTTTCGAAGTAACGACTCAAAAATTAAAACAAAAATAAATATAAGCCCAACATGGCACTCGAGTCAAAAAAATTCCAAAAACTAAGAACATCAATAGCAAAACTAAGCAAAGACATCGCCTTCCTGAAGAAATGCAGCAAAGAAAACATCACCCCCGTCAGCCACAGGATATCAATCAAATCTAAGAGAATTTCCTCAACTAAAATACACAAAATGGAAATAGATTTAATGCAAGATTCAATTCAATCATCGAGAGCCGAGTTAGACATAAAAACAAGAGAAGCATACTATTTGCACCTAAAACTAGCGAAAGAATACCCATTACAGTTCGACCATTTTCTCAAAAAAATTAAGACCACTGAGACTTTCGAAAGAAAAAAGAAGTCCATAATCCACAGCCACAAGGTGAAATCACTAAAAACAAAGATAACCCCAACTCCGAAACCAACAGTAAAAAAAGTGGAAAATTTCGTCGTCAACCAGTCAACACAACAATTTACCGAGGACCAACTAAAACTACTCAACAATGGCTTAAAACACGCAATTAACGAGAACCCCAACATAGAACAACTAATTGTCGATATAGAATCCGCAATCAGGACCTCAACCAAAGAGTTTCCCCTATCACTGGAAGACCAATCAGCCATCAGAAACCTCACAGCAAGCGTCATCGAATCTACTAACACGCAACAAAGAAGAATAAATAAAGACCAAAAAGTGTTAAAAGAACTTAAAAGGAAACCAGTATATTATATAAAAGCTGACAAAGGAAACGCATTAGTCATAATGGACAAAGACGAATACGATCAGAGA